CTCTCATTTAAGCATTTCACCTCCAATCGACAACTCATCATCATCATCATCAATCACTCCGATCTCCCCATTAAAACCCCAAATTGAACAATTAACGTAACAGTTTTCCAGCCCTATAATTTGCACTATCGCGAACCAACTATGCGGACAGGTCAAGTGCTCTTGTTTTCTCAGTGAGTTACCCGTTAAGGAGTCGTCTTTCAGAATTCGCAACAGTAATTTGTCGGTTTCCCAGGCATGAACCCCAAAGCGGTGAATCCTCCTTTGATGTCTCAAGCATTTCACCTGGTTTTCTTTCATGTTAGAGCCACACGACAATGAGCTTGGTTACGACTTTCTGCAGTATAAAAAGCATTTTAACGTTCGAAAAATAAAAAAAATTCACCATTGAGATGCATAAAAAGTGAAATAAACCACGGCAGTTGCTATTTAATTCTCTAGGCCTTATAAAGGGTGGAAAATTCAGAGAAAAATAGAAAGTAACGACTAAAGCTTGAATTATAATGGACAAAGGGGGTTATTTTTTTCTGGGACTCGCTCATTTTCTGCTCTGCACTACAGTAATACGAAACTTTTATTTGTTCTTTCTCGCTATTATGGGGAAAAACATAAAGTGCATGAAATAATAAAAATAGAATTAAAAGGGAATTGAGTTTAATTATACTAAAAGTTGAATTGTTTGAACAAAACAATATGTATTTATATATTTGATGTTAATTAGGTTTTAGAAACTATTAAATCATTATTTAATTCTGACCATTTTCTGACCTTGACCGATTTTTTATATGCAAAATGATCGTCGCAGTTAGCTGCGTCAGACACGAACCAAAGTGACCAAAAATCGTCTATACAGTTGCAAATTGACCGTCATTTTTATTTTGATTTTTTGGGTCATCTTTTAATGACTTAATCGGAAAACTTCTTAATAGAATTGAATTATTATCCTTTATTATTTTATATATTAATTATTATCAATGGCCTCATACTGAATAGACACTGTTAAAAAAAAAATGAAATTTCATGGACAATTGACTAGTCATTTTAAAGACAGCGCCACTAAATGCAATTTAAGGAGAGAGAAAATCATGAAATTTCAGATTTCACTCAAAATTCCATGAAATATCAAAACTTTGAAAAACACAAAGACGAGATTTCTTCAATTTATTTCAATTTTCAATGAAAGCACGAATATTCAGGGCCAGATTACCCTGAATTTTCAAATAATTCAAAACTCACGAATATGTTTATCGAAATTTTCCAGTTTTCTGTTAATTTTCTGCAAATAATTGAACTAAAATTTGAAGTTTTCATTTATTTTTACCCGAAAATTAGAATTTTCAATGACGAAATTCTTTGAAATTTCAGTGGAACTTAAATATGACAAAAATTTCAGAAAAGTGTGCTGGAAATTTCAGCTAAGAATTTATAAAAATGTAGAAATCGCTGGACTGGTACCCGAACGTTGAGGGTCATTTATATAGATGGAAATTGACGGTCAAAATTAATTCAGTCATTTCACCGGTCATACTTGTCACTCACATCTCCAGTGTGAAAGCAATGAAAATGGTTATAAATAACTACCATAGTTACAGTTTTCACTGTTAACTGGCTTTCGTATCAACAAATACAGAGAGAACTTTTCACAAAATTGATTTGTTAGATGACAGAAATAAAAACTCAACAAAACCATAAAAAAAATATTTTTTATGTCACGGACATGATGACCCAAAAAATCCTAAAAACCACAGTTTGAAAAGCACCGGAAAAATAAAAAGTGAAAAAAAAATATCACAAAAGAGATTTTTTTGTCCTGGACACGATGACCCAAAACCTCATAAAAGCCACAAATTGCAGGAACTAAGTGTAAAATTAAGACCTCCATAGTAAAGCGACATTTTAATCTTTAATTCGCCTGGATATTAAACTTTCAAGCCGTCAGAAAACTCTCGAGTCCACGTCCAAGGACATTCGAATGAGTCGTAAAATATTTCAGTGGAAAAATGAAGACAGGGAGGAATGATAACGGGAAGAAAATAAAAGAAGTGAAGAATAAAGAAGAAAGTGGATGAGACGACGAGAGTGCCCTCTGTTATAACGAGTTTACTTGCATCTGCATAATTGGATCTCGAATTGGATCCAATCAGTATACCCCTCATCCACCGAGTAGTGTATGCATGATGAAAAATAACTCCCCCGGAGATGTGCTAATTCAAATGAGCAAAGGACTTTTCGTCAGAGATAAATGCCGATGAGCAGAAGATAATCGTCATGAAGAAAAAATTACTCTTGAGGTGAAAGAAGCGGCTATACTATTATCAAACTTTGAGAAACTCTCTCCGACGAGTCATTAAGATCTTTTAATGAGAAATCTCATCTGGGTCGTACTCCTGCCACCTGCAAACGAATGGAAAGCCCCGGGTAACGCTACGTCGAGGTATTTCGTAATACATATTCATGTGTATGATGATTCAATTTTAATGTGGAACATTGGTAACGAATTTAATTATTCCACTTCACACTCTGGAAACTATATTTCGAATGCAGGGATAAATATTCTGTTTACACTCTCTGAAGTACATAGCGGTATTTCGGAATTGCATAAATCTGAAAAACAAATTCTTTCAATCTTGGAGGAACGGAATTACGGCTACAGCAGCTGATGGCGGAGTTTTTCCATTTTTACTTCTTTGTCATTCTTCATTTTGTACTGTCTCCGCCCTGACTCCACTATTCTTAATTATTATTTACCATTCTTTTCTCCTACGCCCGATGAATAACGAGAGGTACGCTGCACTGCGATATAGAGAGGCAATCTCGTGTATAATGCTAATTAGGTGAAACTCATTAGCAATTAAGTCGATTCATAATTTGACACGTAAATTTATCGTCAGGATGAGGACTCCGTAATGTCATAAAGAGTAGAAGAAAAAAAATATTAAGTTGAGAGGTAGAACATTTCAGTGAAGACAAGGAAACGGTGAATACGGTAAATATTTACATCAGAGAAATTCGATGGTACGCGACAATGGGAAAAATTAATTATAAAAGGGAGGAATGAGGGGTTTCCTCTTCATTCGTCACATCGGTAAACCACCTAAACTGGTGTGTGCTGACGGTGGATGTCTTTCTCACCCGTGCACACCAGCGAGTGCGCGACCAATTGAGCGTTTTCTGCCCCCCCCCCCTTCCCCTTTTGATTCAATGAATGAACGCTCGATTGACTCGAAAATAGCGGACGCTGTTCTCGCGGATTCGCCTGAAAAGCTATTATACATAAAAATCATAAATGGATAATGTAACACTCTAGTGAGGCATGTGAAACAATGGTTTCATTTTTTTTTCATTGCATTTGAATCAATTATCGGATATATTCAGCTTCAATAAATTCAATTTAAAGATTGATTTTAATCACATTGAAGCTTCCTTCGAATTTTATGGAAAAATATTCGAATATCAAGCCACTGATGGGTTCTTTGTCTCGCCCACACTGGCAGAATGATTCATTTATTTTATAACGAATGAACATTTGCACAGAGAGAAATATTCGATAAAAATTATCTGAAAAAAGACGTAAAAATTACGTTTCAAAACGTAATCTGGGAGCGAAGTAAAATTCAATAAAAAGTGTCAATCGTCACGTAAATTCTACGATCTGTTCCGTAAAAATTACTCATCCGTCTGACGCCTGACGGCTAGCCGTGAGTCACCGTGAGGGGGAGATTTTAACAACACGTTCCGTAATTTTTCCGGAACTTTTCGTAAAAATTCTTAAACATCCAAGAATTTTCATGTTCTGAGGCATAATAAGTCTTGAAGTTTCTGTTAGATTTTACAACTTCCAGAAAAATTACGTGACTTTTTCGTATTTTTTCGGTGACAGACCCGAAAATTTACTGAACGTTTCAGATTTATTCTCTTATATTCCTATAGAAATTCACTGAAAACGATTCTCGCTTGCGGATTACGTGAAATGTTCCGTAATTTTTCTTGAATATTTCTCTCTGGGTGAGACTGAATAGACCCTAACCTCCAACCAAATTCATTTATTAACAATAACTAATCCTTTCTATCAGTGCATGTTCTCCGTCGGACGAAGATCTTCCAACAAATATAAAGGATCTCGGAGAGATTTCAGATGCTTGTTTTGTCCGATTTGTCTCAGACGGAGGTTCGTATTTGTTCGTCCTATGAGACGGATTCGAACAAATGCGAACGTTCGCCTCAGACAGTTCACACCGTCCAAGACAGATCCTTCATATTTTTTGGAAGATCTCCGTCGACGGAGAACATGGGCGAGATGAAGATCCTACAGGAATTTTATTCCAGAAACTCGATCGAACCCAAATGCAAAAGCTCAACTACACTGATAAAAAAAATTGGCATTTCAGGGAGAGTTTTGCGATAATTTTCACACAGAGAGAAATGTTCAGTAAAAATTACGGAACTCACAATTCGCTCACCGATTACGGAATCGAATCAGAAAATTTAAGTGATGGTATCGTAATTTTTCACAGAAGATCCGATAAAAATTACGGAACGCTCTGGAAAAATTTCGTGACAGTTCCGTAAAATTTCCTACAACCACATTTCGCTCCGGAATTACGGAAAAGATACGTAATTTTTATTGAATATTTCTCTCCGTGCAGAAGATTGACGTTGAATTCCATTTATGGGAAAATGGTAATGAAATTCCAAGGTTCAGATAAAATTCAGTTGAATTTTATATTTTATTGATTTTAAAAGGGGAAAAAGGGTAAGAATGTCACTCGAATTTTCAACAGCATATGGATAATTGATATCAAATAAGTTGAAATTTCAATTAATTGAAAATTCAGGAATGAATTTCTCGGAATTTATTAAATTTTTCTAAATTTTCACTGAATAATCAAACGAAAATTTACAGTTTCGATTTTATCGTAAAATTATGAGCAAATTGATGGAATGTGACACTTGCTACAAATTTTCCAAGATGATTTCCGTTTTCAGGTTCCGCTGTTGCTATGATTGGTGCAAATCTACGATTTGGCATTGGAGCGTCCGGTAACGTGACATCCAATTCCACCAAAGTATTCCAGTGTCATCCAGGTGGAGTAACGGAAGCAACGGTGATATTCAGTCTAGGTGCCCTTGGAATGGGTGCCAATATAATCCTAATGATTCTCATTTTAACAAAACGACATCTTAGAAGGTGAGCAATTAATAACTCCAGTCTTAAAGTAAATAAATTCCCGCTAAAAACCACGTTAATAACTGAAGGTCAACAAAATTCACCCGGTTCTTCATTTGAAACTGATCTTCCTCCTCAGGATTATATTCCACGGGTCCATATTGATCAGGACTATTACGCTGTTATAAAATTACTCTTGAAATTTCAAACAAAAAAAATTCAACAATGGATAATTGACATTCAATTAGTCTGTATAAAATTATTGGGGAATCAGTTAATTCACCGAATATTCAACTGAATTCGATTTTCGGGTCCACACAACAGTGAAATCATTGAAAATTGTGATAATTCAGATAGCTATTGTTCTGAATTTCCAATCTGTTGGAAACTCAATTGAATTTAATGTTCAAATTTCACAATGAATTTAAAAATTCACGCTATCATTGAAATATCAATGATCGCCGACCATGAACACCTCAATTTTGTAGAAAATTGGAGATAATTAAAAAATTCACGGACGATTAATCTTAAGGATATCCAAGCATCATTAACAGCTTGGTACAGACCATACTATAGATTCAACCATTTTCAATCATCAAATTTTTCAATAAAATTGCGTGAGAAAAATTTGGAATAAACTCAGTAATATTCAGCATCGCTCAAATTACATTTTGCACAGAATTATTTTTTTTTCCATTCGTTCTTTATAAATAAATAATTGAAATTATTTAAATTCGGAAATGATTAAAATCGGAAATGTTATTTTTTATTCATGAAATCGATTTCTGGTAAAATTCGGAATATGAATAAATTTGTTACGCTTCCGAACAAAGGATTTTTATGTTGGAAAATCGATTGTTTACAAATTATTAGGGGGCTACGCCCCCTACTCGCTCCACTAGCTCCCCACATATAACCCCCATATGACCGCATGGTGATTATTCTGACCCTTGTGACCCTTAATCTAATCCTTAACTTTGGAGTCTGAATTTCGAGTACCAAATTTTAATCACCAAAAGTGGATTTGGATTTTTATAATATAGAAAGATTTATAGAAGATGCTCGCGATTTAAAAAGAAATCAATTTTGAAATTATTTCATCAATCTTTCTCCAAAAGTAAACATTGCTTTTTTTTAGATATTTAAAAAGTTTTCTAACGGCTCAATATCGAGATACAAATTCAAACCTGCAAAGTTGAAATAGTAAAATCATTGTAAAATGTCCGGAAACTTAGAATCCAATAGGGCTCAAATGAAAGCTTTGATGTTCGACTACAAAAGTACAACATTTCATTGGAGAAAAAATAGCTAAAGTACTTTTTTTTTTTTTCATTCCATTCCCATATAGCCGATGAGGCTTTTTATGGTTCCATCTCACCCCCCCCCTCCAACCCCTTATTGCGGTGTCATGGGCCGACTTCCGCCCCCATCATGTTACATTGCAGCCCAGGAGCTGTACTCCATCTCCTGGTGACCAAGGGAAACCATGGAAACCTTGGCCGATACACTGATCAAAAAAAATTTTTTTGCCAAATGATCATTTACTTGAGGGAAGAATTTATTTTTTCAAGACCGTATTTCTCCATTCGAGCCATTCTCAGGCAATTCTCATTAGGTTTAATTATGTCAATTATATTGCTCTAGAAGATGAACCTGTTGGTTACGACCTTAAGTGACCTCCTTCAATAATTATCAACATTAAAAAATTGATCGAAATTCTTCTCTCTAGAAAATACGAAATTTATGAAAAGTGAATAATCATTAGGGGAGTCCCTCCAAAGTCATGTGGAACATAATCATCCTTTAAAGCACCATGATTGTTATAATTGGAACCTAATCAGGCCCACCTGGGAATGACTCGATTGGAGAAATACGATTTTGAAAAAAGAAATACGTCTCTCAAGTAAATGAATATTTGGCAAATAATTTTTTTTTCTCAGTGTATGGACGTCGATCGACCGGATATCATCAGAGAATGTTCCCAAACATTTAATCTCGATGATTTCGGTGTCTAGACTTCCGTTCAACGGTTTTCGAAAGATTAAAAATCCCAATTTGCCCCAATCCGGACTCGAACCCACTTCCTACGGATCCCGCCATCCGGATCAGGGATTTAAGCACCTCGGTCACCGTCATCGGTTCCAAAGTACTTGGATATCGTTAAATTGAATCGAAATTCGCAGCATCACAAATTTACATAAAGCTGCTACCTAAATTAAAAACATTTATCATTGTATGGTCACGAACGATTACAGCAGAAGTACTTTGCAGAGCTATGGTCTTCAAGATCTTTGTTACCATAATTAAACAATGTGTCACCCTCCACGACCAATTCTTTTGTGTCTTATGTCTTTCAAGAGTCAACCCTCCTCACTCATAATAATCAATAATCCCCCTGAAAAATCTGAAATTGTGCTTTCAACGTTGCATCACACAATATATTCATCTCACTGTCACCGCACATGTACCACCAACCATTAACAGCAGTAGACAGCTGTGTGACAGGCTGTCTGTCGCGATGCAGAGGATCTCGAGTGCCGTGGTGCACAAGCCAAAGCCACTTGATGCCACAGATCCATGCACCCTCATCCCCCTGAAGATTAAGCCTACCCCCGATCCTCCTCATCCCTCTCACATGCAAGAAATTCATTGCATATCGTGTGATTACGTGGCATTGCACAGTAGCTTGACTCTGCAGACGATGCAGTAAATGTGGTTTTCCCCCTTTTTGTCTGTCCTACTTCAAATACCGAAAAGAAAGAGGTCGCTATCACCCACGCTCGAGCAACTGCGCCAACTTCACGTTTTCCCCACATTTGATTAGGTACTTCATCAACTATTTCTAGAGTGGTGCCTATCTCATCCACCTTTTTGCCTAAAGAAGCGACTTCCATTCAAATTTTCACACAGTTCTAACGGCTAACGGTTGCGAGTTAGAGATTAGCATCAAAAGCTTTTGGATTACAACAGAAATTACTTTTATATTTTGTTCGAGATGTTCGTGACTTTTTCGAAAACCAAAGGTTTAAAACTTTTGTTTGAATTCTTTAAACAATTTTAAACTGCTAATATTTGGGCTGAAAACTCAGGAAATTTCGTCAATGAAAATCACACATTCCATTCAGTTTATCGCAATTTGATGAGAAAATTAATGGAAATTAGTGATTTCAGTTTAATTACTCGATGAAAATGAAGGAATTTAGCGAAATTTTTGACGTGCATACGTCTTTGGGGGAGAGGGTCATTTTGGGAAACGGTCCTTGTGTGCAGCGCCATCTATCGGAATTCTAGAATATTCTACACGTTTCCAGGTAATTCGAAAAGTTTCTTGAAATTTTGAAAAAACTCCAGGAGTTTCTAGGAAATTCGAGAAAGAAGAAAAGACCATGGACGTATCCACGTACAATTACAGCTATATCGAAGATACAACCACCTGTTTAAATTTCGAATTAATTTCAATTTTGAATTATTTTGGTACAGAATATTCCTGTTTATTTAAAAATTCAGCTGTGATGATAGGAGATAAGATTAATCAGAGACTGTTGGATTACAACATAAATTACTTTTATATTTTGTTAGAGATGTTCATCACTTTTTCAAAAACCAAAGGTTTAAAACGTTTGTCTGAATTCTGCTTATCAAATCCCGGACATTTCAAGCAATTAATATTTGGGCTGAAAACTCAGGAAATCCCGTCAACGAAAAATCACACATTCCATTCAGTTTATCATAATTCGATGAGAAAATCAATGGAAATCGTTAATTTCAGTTCAATTACTCAGTGAAAATTAAGAAATTTAAAAATTATTTTTTAGCGCTCTAACTCTCACAGATTCATTTCTCCGAGCGGGAGTCTCGCAAGGGACGATTGTACCTGGTCAAGGTTTTTCCCTCAAGTGAGGTTTTCCCTTGGCTCTCGGCGAATGCGGTACAAGGTGTTGGGGGGTGGAAAGGGAACAAATCGTAAAAACCCGACAGGGTATACGAAAGAACAAAAAATTGAAGAATTCTTCTTCTATTCCAAATGGCTTTATCCCCAACTCAGATAGGGGCAAGTGCCGAAAATTGAAGAATTACAATTTCGGATTATTTTCATACAGAATATTCAGGTTTATTTTCAAATTCAGCGACGATATGAAAAATTGGTCTCATTTATATTTGAAATGATTTGAATTATGCTGACAACTTGAAATTTTTGCCTTTTCCTGCTCCTCTTCTGACGACTGATTAAACTGTCCATTAAACTCCTACTTTTCAGCAGTGTATACTTTTTTGAGTTGATAGAAGTTGATAGAACATATGAAACTTTAACTACAAAATAAAATCAACAAATTCCCATTATACCATGACTTTTATGAGATTCATTCCATGAACAGTAGTTCACCAACGAGTACTAAAAGTCTCGGAACATAAAAAAAAAATAAAGGCAGTACGAATAAATATACGGAATTCAATGACCACATAGCACACCCCTAGACTCTGTGCAGACAGTCCCTTTTATTCTGGAAAAATTGAATACAGCAACAATCGTGAAGAATCATGACAACCGTGTTCTCTCCGCAAAAGTAACTTTAAAACGTCGTTTGCAGAGAATAATGACAAAAATTGTGCGAGCAGAAAGAATTAAGAGGAAGGTAGGGATGGGCGATGTTTGTCGATTAATCGAATATATCGATTTTTCATGCCCAGACATCGACGTTTCTGACCAACCTAACGAAATTTTTCATTTTTTTGTCGAATAATAATGTTGATTGATTGAGAATAAATAAAATAATAATTTATTCACAATCAGAAGTAATTATTTTCCACAGTATGTATGTTATAAATAATAAGTGAACAAGTCCAGTCATCTATTGTTATTTAAAATTTGAAATTTGTAATGTTTCTTTCATTTAAATTTTTAACAATTGCTGCAGCTAACGGAAAATATTCACTATATTTTTTTTAATTAATCAAAAATCCTGTTTCGAAGTTCAAAATTTAACTCTCCAGCAAAACTTATCATTGAAACGTAAGTTCCTCGGGGTGTATTTTTTAAATATATATTTTTCGAGAAGAAACAATAAAGAAAATAAAAACGAGAAGACAAAAAAGTATTCTTAACAATTTATCTTTTGTCCTGTGTAATGAGAAAAACATCGATTTTTTAAATAATCCATGTTTTTTCCTGAAAAATCGATTCACAACATTGATGTTTTTGAAAAACATCAATTCTTCGATAATCGATGTTTTTTAAAACATCGCCCATTCCTAGAGGAAGGACAACAGACAGTTCTCCGCAAAACATGAAAATAGTATTTTTTTAAATATCCACGAAGACGGAAGACGGTTGGGTCAGACATTAACATCCCCGATGGCAAAACTGTCTGTCCGTCTGCAGACCCGAGATAGACTAACAAAAAAAAAATATGGTGGGCTAATCGAGGTGTTCCCTCGAGCTTGTCCCTGGCAGAGTGAAATAAACGTCCCCAAACACGTTTGCGGTTGTAGAAACTTGTGGATATAACAGTTTCTCCTATTGTCTGGGTTTCAGGTGGTCGCAAGGGTTATTGTTTCATCAGGCAATGGTGGACTGTGCTCGAGCTGCTATATTATTACCACTGGGCTCTAGTATACTGAACTGTCAGCCAGTGCACAAATGTTCACTTGTTGAGACAGCTTTTCTACTGTTGGTGACAGTGTCCACTGTCAATATGTTGACAACAGTGCTCAATGACAGTCCAGTATTTCCGGAGAGCGACGAAGAGGCTGATCTTACAGCTCCGTTGTTGATGGATTCACCTCAGGTAATTTTCCACCGAGTAATTAATTAATTAATCAATTGATTGATTTATTGAGTGATTGATTGATTGAGGGCGGAGAATCTGTCGAAATTCAATTTGTGGGAATGTCAATTTGAAGCCCTCGGGGGACTGGGTTGGGCTGTTTTTATTCGGCTCATTGCAGCTGTGACAATGATTACATGTCAACCTGTGTATTCAAATTTCACCTTGGGGAGTAATTTACGCGACACATTGTAGGGATCGAAGCCGAGTTGTGACTGATTGCGGTTTATGTACGGATGTACACTTCACGGTCAAATACTCGTAGTACAAACCACAGTGGCAAATCTAGGTGATTCCAATTATTCCAATGATGCAAGCTCTGTCATCACTGTTGAAGATTTTTGGCTGAAATTTTCAGAGGACTGCTTGGAAAGCTCCATCAAATTATAGTTCCAGTGGAATTTCAAGAAATTTTGTCGTTGAAAATTCAGAATGAAAAATCAGAGTACAGTATTTTCCACAAGACAAAATTTTTTAACACAAGAAAAAATAATTTTTTAAAAATTGCAGTATAAGTGGTCAATTCTCGTCTTCCCCCTGCCCAAAAATTTGGAATTTCATTGAATTTTGTCCCCTAAATCGCATTAAACGTCACCGTCCTGAAAATTACTCATGGTCATGACATCGTAATTTTTTTCTAAAAGTGATGAAGATTTAAAAACTTGCATTCTCATTATTGATCTAGAAGTGACGTTACATAAAAAAAATGAATTTTCAATTCAATTGAATAATTCTCTCCGACACATCCAATCAAGTTGCTCAGTTCAATTCATTGCAACCAGGTATAAAGAAATCCACAAATGCCAGTCCACCGATGAAAAACCTCACACCCATAGTCATAAAAAGTAAATTCAAACTCTTAAATTTATGTCATCGTAACCCCTGCCCTATTCACCTTTTCAGTGCGTTCTATTTGGCACTTTCATGATATGGTTCGCCAGTATCACGATAAACCTCGGGCCAACATTCCTCAGTGGTGCACTAGCAGCAAATACTGAGTCTGGTCACAATGCACCAAGTTGCCCTCTTGTTCATGGACCATTCAGACATTATATACTTAATGTCCTTTGGATTGTTATTAACGTGATATGCGTCTCACTGACGCTATTTCATCTGAGAAAATTACACCGGGATTTAACCAAAGCCAATGTCGAAGCGGTGAGTAAATAACTGAATGGTAAATGGCTTTTACACAAGCATGTCTACTTGAAATAATTCATTTGCCACATTCAACTGGAGAGGCACTATGTTGCCTTGTTCAAAGGCGACTGGCGAAGTGCTCTTCACCAGTACCTCGGAGAAATTCCATTGAGCATTTCACTGTGACATACACTCGTGCTTGTTTGTTTTTCCTTTTATTTCTCCACATGTGACAATAATGTTGATTTTCTCTTCAGGTTCGTGTAGCAGGGCTTGTCACAACGCTTGTCAACGTGACGGGCGGTGGCCACAGTAGTGCAAATCCAGCCGCAGATGGTGGAACGACAGACCAAAGGAATGGCACAACGCCGAAGGTAAAATTTGTCATTGACATTTTCTGCGTACGAAGCATCCTTTTATGATGGGAATAGCGTTTTACGGGTTTCAGTAACGATGTCGGGAGTTCATCCACGGAAGGGAATGCTTTTTCATGTTTTACTACCGAGGAAAAGAGTCGTTTGAACACTGACAGAGAATTGTAGTCGGAGTGATAAAAATTATTTTGGGAGATTGGCCATGAGCTTTGAAGAGGAAATTTTCGAAAGGGTGTACAAAGTGGTGATATAATAATAGTTATGACACAATATGGCGAATTTAATGTCAATTCAAGTGGGTATTGACTGATAGCATACATCGATATTTCATTGCCAACATTTTGAGGTCATCAAAATGACCTCAAGTCGAGGGGCCACTCACTCCATAATTGAGTGACACCATGATTTCGAAATGAAGTCGATTTCGGGGGATTTCAGTGATTTCGAAAAAAATTATTTCGGTGATTTCGAGAGTCATGAAAGGTAATTTCATGATTTCGAATGATTTCATTAATTCGAAATTAGTGATTTCAGGAAAATAAAGTTAATAAATAATAAAGGTAATAATAGAGGGGTAAAACTGGTTGTGTTAAATTATGGAAATCAAAACTAACAATATTAACTGGCAAATAATAACGAAGTCGTTCGATTCTACTCCGCCAATCTTGAGCTGATGACGATGAAAAGCGGTCCATTTTACCATTTTACTATGACAGTGAGTACGGCACTTTATTATCATCGTTGGCAAATGTGTCAATTTCAAAATCACGAATTACTTGCACGGTTCGTACTACGCCAGGGCGCTACTGATTTCGGTGATTTCATTGATTTCAGACGATTTCACGTGATTTCAGAGATGATTTTGAAAATAATTTCAATGATTTCAATGACTTCACGTAATTTCGGAATGATTTCATACCAGAGTGGCGTCGTGATTTCGGAAGTAGTCCCTCGCCTCAAGTTTTCAGGCCATCGAATTTTGCTCATTAAAAATAATAATATTTATCAAGATGTTATTACCAATTAATTCAATCAATTGGATTTCTCTCGATGAAGAAAATGGAGAAGCTCACAAATTTCCCACCCCAAAGAACATCACGACTTCAACAACACAAATACCCCCGCAGTATCATATAATTAAGCTTAAACATAGTTGTTAGTAAAATCCTCAAGTTTTCTCAACGCCGAGGGGCAACAGAAACACTCTTAATTGAATTATCGATCTCGTAAATTCCAGCGGAGCGGTGCGCTGGAGGAGCACCGGAAAATGAGAAATTACTTGAGAAGGATGGAGCGTGAGGGTGTGCAGAGGGTGAAGATGTTCCTGGTCATTACTGCCGCCTATGTTATTTTCTGGGGGCCACTTTTTTTCGTGACTCTGGTACATCATCCGGTGATTGGAAATACCACTGGCTACGAGGTAATCAAGTTTAATATAAAAAGGACATTAACTCATCAACACTGCGCTTTTACCCCCCTTACGCTGATGGAGAAAATGTTATTTTATTGAGATATTCCTCTCTTGAAATGACTATTACTCACTTTAAAAAATTTAATTACCCAAAATTTTAGACGGGCGAAAATCTAATATTCCAATCATTAGGACAAATAAAATTCACTCCGCAACTAAATTGATCTCGAAAAGACATACTGAGTTGAATGTTATCTGCTGAATTATTGTTGCTCCAGTTAAAATTATCTCGATAAAATTAGTTTCTTTTTTCTCAGTGGAGTCCTTTCTGCTTTAGTAGCAAGGGAAATTAAGGATCCACAAATGAAGAATTCCAACCGCTTGAATAGTTAAGACTCTTCCTTCTCATCCCGTGGGCCATTATGCGGTCAAATATTGCAGTTTTAAATTTGTAAGGGTTTTAAAACACCGAACTCCCCTTGCAATTCTAATCCGTCAACGTTTCAAGAACTGAACGTTTCCCTCCTTAGGGCGTTTTTCATTAAACAAATTAGTAATGTTTATCCAAAACCGCAAGCACTTAAAAACTCTTCAATTTTTTTTGTTTTCTTTCATGATGATAAAAATTCTAATCCAGCAATCCCAGTTACTTATTCCGGAATGAAACAGAAAATATGTACTGAACGTAATAAAAATTTTAAACATCTATATTATTTTCGCCCAGGTACCCCCAGTTTTCCCTTGGCCATTAGATTCAGCATTTTTTTTAACATTGCCCTCTATTTTGATATTTATTTTTCGAGTCTTCCAGTAGGTAAATTGTCAATTTGAAAATAAATCCCATAAAGATCGAAGTATAAAAAGAAATTTGTCTATCTCATTTCGCCCTAGCTACTGCAACGAATTTTTCTTAACGCTGTTAGAAATTTCTTGAAATTTCAGTCACAGTGTCAACTGAATTTTCACCCTTGTGAGGTTGCATTCAATTTCAAATGAAAGCGTTCACTAAATTTCTCATTCATTTTGAAAATTCAAGAAAATTGGGTTTTTCATGTTAAACAATCATTGATTTTTCAATGAAAGCCTGAATTTCCACTCATCGTGAAAATTGAACATCACATACAATTAAATTTTTTCCACCATAGCATGCAGGAGAATTCCTAATTAGACTAGATAAAAACTCTCTCGTTATAATTAACGAGTTTCTTCTCAAATATTCCATAAAATTCTGAAGTGTATTGTTAATAGTTCTAAACTACCGCAACATCCATAAATAGTTCAACTGGTCTCGTTTTTATAACGAGAAATATGTATGCAAAATAAACTGTAATTGTTCAGAAATGCTAAAATAAATTTTAAAAAATACATTGAGAATTCAGAAAAGTTATTTCCTGCATTTTCAAAATTTTCAAAGTTTTTCAGTGGCGTATGGACCTGAAAATCGAGAATTACTTGAATATTTAAGAAATTAACTGATTCATCAATGAAGAAATATACAGAAAATTCACGTCACTTTGTCGTTGTTAAAAATTTCAAGCTTTTTCACATGAAATTTCAACAGTAACTTTCTAACAGTGAATAATCAGAAATGTTGACTTCACACGTTTCCTCATGAGTTTAAAAAAATTCAATAATTAATCTCGGGAATTGAAAAATTTTCCTTTCAAAAAATGGATAAACATCCATAAGACCCAGGAGAACATGTTCTCTTTCCTATCATCTCATTTGTAATCTGTTTACAGGTGACCCTGCACATCGCCTACATCCATGCATTCGTGAATCCCGCTCTATTTTTAACCCTTCATCGAGGTCTCCGCCAAGGGATTTCAGATGTTTGCTGTGGCTGTTGCGAGAGCATAGCCCGATGGATCCTTGGATCAACAACAAACAGTCCTATGCAATCGGTACAGCCCCCCAGATACGAGCCACCACTGAACGTTCCCTCGCCACCAGCCCCACCCCTACCCACAGCAGTATCAGCCTGTGATCTCAGTGACATTGCCCAGCTAAAACCTCCCTTACCACCAGCCGCTAAATACCTTCCGGTAAGGCAATTCACTTGAATTCAATGAAATATCAATTTTCATCCAATTAAAACCAGGGATGAGACACTGAATAATTCATTAAATTTTATCCACAGCAAGATGAGCCTATTAGTGTGACACCGGACCCCTGGAGTATCGTTATACCACGGCCTAAGAGTATCTCAAGCTTGTACGAAGAGAAATTATCAAGACGACCGAGCTTATTGCTTCCAGCCCCACCAAGCATGAGTGACGCAAATACTGCTGTCAGTCCGACGAGTAGTGACATGCTTAGTGAATAATTTTTCGGTTTATTAAATATTCGAGTGGAATTCATGGAGTTTTTACATCCTATAAGTTTGTTTTATGGGAGAATAAACCGGTGGAAAGATTCACGTCGCAATCTCACGATCTATGAGACGAAATAATGTCAAGGATGTGGTACTCTAGTAGAGTAGAAAGATGAGATGAATTTGCAAATATCCCTGATCGTCGTAGATATAGAGGACAATTTCAGATCTTTTATGTAGGCCATACATTTTTTTTAGAAAAAAAAAACCCTAGAGAATTTCTGCAGACCTCTTCTTTCCCAAGGTATACACGTGTGCCAAACAATCACATTCGAAATGGTTTTGTAATGAATTTCATTGCCAAATATAGTGAAATGAAGAATTGAATTTGTGATAAAGAGTCACATTGTTGAGTATTAATTTACAGGGTAGGGACGTTGAATTCGATTCAGGAGGAAACAGATAGTGAAATTTCAGATTTCACTGAACATTTGATGAAATTCAATATTTTTTAGCAGCACGGAGACGAGAATTCCCTGCTGTACTTGAATTTTCAATTAATTGGAAATTTGAGAATATATTTCCCAGAATTTTCCTGCTTTCTAGTAATTTTCGTTGAATAGTTGAACTGAAATTTACAGTTTTCATGGTTTTTCCATAAAATTTGAATTTTAAATGACGAAATTTCCCGAAATTTCAGCAGAACTATGTGATAAAAATGTCCAAAAAATGTACTGGAAATTTCAACCAAAAATTTTTAACAGTGTATAAAAAAAAATCCCTGAAGACGTGGGTCTCTTCACTTAATATTGTAATACCATAAATTGCATCATAAAATTGTATGAGCTCACCCATTCCACTCAAATATCCCCCTCAATTCCCAAAAAAATACATGTATATTAAAGTAATACAGCATTTCTTATGAATTCGGTTATCAAAAACTCAAAAGTAAACCGTAGCCAACAGCAGCGCAGAATTATTTTTTTACAAGTTGCAAATGAAGAAAGAATACCGATATCTTCCATATTTCAACGAGCACTCGTATAGCTAAATATTGATATCTTCACAGACTGATTTTCCAATCTTTGAGACAAATCGTTGACACGTAATTGCTGAGTCTATGATGTAATGTTACGTTTATCTCTTATTTTTCTATCTCGTATCTGTTTAGTACCTCTCCCTCTCCCCATCTCTATTTCTATGACTCCACCAACGAATTTATTATCATTAGATCTAGCCAAATTTCGTATTAATTATAGAGGATGATGTGAAATATAACTGCAGACAATTTGTTGATTACTGATGGACTTTATAAATAAACTATACGTCTCTTTTGGCTGACTAAACATGAATCACATCGAAAAAAACTCATTTATCAATGTAAATTCTTATGTGGTATGTACCATCATCTATTGCCAGTGTCTAGAATGATTTTTATAACTCAACTGTAACTACAAATTATGTGTATCTCCCCTCGCAGTTCCTGGAATGAAACTCTAATTCCCAGATACCCACAATTCGCAAAATACTCATGATAATGTGAAGATGAATTTTCAACCGCGCATTAAATAAAAGGTAAAGCACAAAATCTAAAATTATTTGAATAAAGAGAAAGTCAAACATTGTAAATAAATTAGAAAATTTCATTTGTCTTCTTCCTTAGCTTTAGATTTAAAAAGGCTGTATCTTTAATTACTAAATAATGAAGGAATGAAGGAATTTAATGCTGTTTCCACGTGCCAAGTGAAGGATATTATTTTCAAAGATTAATCATTAAGGAGAAATTGCTCATTAAATGTATTCCGCCCATCGGAGTGTTTAAACAGATAAATGAATTGTCAATTAGCAATGTAGATTATTGTAAATTCATGTTGATAGATCATTATGGAGATGCCGATGTTTAATCATCCACATTCAATGTAACGTTAGATAAATTTTTCGAATTTATTTTACGAGAATAGAAATAAAATTCTTTTTATATGTTAATCATTTTCATTGCACCTGAAATTGGCATAGAAGTGCACTTTACTGAGACGTCTTGGGTCCACTTTGTATCAAAATACTATCTCAATATTTTCGATTAGGGACAAGTGGGGCAAAATGGACTGTTGGAACATTTTTTTAAAACTCACTAAATCATTGAATTTAAGATTAAATGGGATGTTTTCTACTTTTCAAAGTACAATTCTTCCCCTTTATGATGAGTCTAGACTAAACTCAATTGAGAGAAAAGTACAGTGTCCATTCTGCCCCGCACTCTCCTAATTTAGTTCATTTTTTTTCAATTGGTGTAAAAATAGTTTAATTGGAATAAATATCGAGTAATTTAGTGGAGTGTCGTAGATTCTGTGGCTATTTAGCGAATAATTGAGCATTCGAATTCGTGGGATTAACGTTTTTTTTGTGAGTACTGAAAAATGTGCCTATGAGAATGAAATTCGGAATAATCGAATGATCGATTATTGTCATGAATGAGAATAGACATTAGTCCATGTGTGAATGACGCAATGATTCAATAAAAATGTTCAATGTAAATCTGATTAAATGCTGTAAACCTTAATTACCCGAGGGTAGGAAATATTTATAAATTTTTATTGTTGTGACTCACCTGTTCGAAGCCGCCAAGGATCTCTGTAGTGTCCATAGCTGAGTTTACGACGATCGAACGCAGCTTTTGTCCACTCAGTTGTGCTAATACTCGAACTACACTGCTTTTTCCGGTGCCTGATAATCCCACCTGTTTTCAAAATTAAATGAAGTTAAATTTAGAAAATTGAACGCTTTTGAAATTGAAGTCAATTTCATAGCTCAGTGACAAATTTATCAATTGAGATCAGTCTGGATTCACTGTGAAGTCTAGATTAGTCTAGATTCACTGTGCTAGAAGATTCTTTTGGAAATAAAACATAAATTTTATTCAATCAAAAATTCAATGAGGGTGGGGCAATATCTCCTGATAAAATAGAACAATTTAGATGACTCAGATCACATTTCAATGCTTGAAAAATACTTTTAAAATTAAAATTAAAACTCGAACTTTTACTCTGTCATTCTCAAGTTATTGATGATGAAATGGAATGTTGAAAAAAATCATAATTTTTCATTCTGTTCGACTCTTTTCTGCATTGCAAATGAGATGAGTTGATGAATCCAGAAATTTGGCCCAAAATATCACTTAAATCCCCAAATTCAGAGAAAAATTACAAAAGATTTCACTTGTAGTTCAAAAAGTCCCTTTCGAAAAATGTCTTTTGGTCGATTTTTCTAAACTCTTGTGTGTCAAAATCATAAAGCGGCATCAATCATTACTTTAGTAATATTATGAGAAGTTGTACCTTACAATATTTAAGATTTACTGATCTTTATTAAAATTTGAAAAATAACATAACAATTGGTAATTTAAATTTTTTAATGATTTGTTGATAAAATAATTTCAAATTTGAAAATTTCAGTTGATGATTGATAAAATAATTCGGAATTTGAATATTTAAATTGACAGTTAATTTGACAATCAAGAAATAGGTGAGTAATATTAACAATTGACTTGTTCAAAATTTAGCTGTAATTAAAAATTATGATTGCCCGACGGCCTGGCGCAGTAAGGTTGTCGTTGCACGTGCGCCAGGTTCCGACTTCAAATCCCGGTCGGGTAGAGTGGTGAGATCTAACCATGTTAAAGGCCGTGACTATTCGCACCATTGCGTGAATCACTCCCGTACACTCCATACACTCCACGCATGCGTGAAGTTTGTGTGTTTCACGCAGCCGAATTTTCATACTGCTGTGTATTTCACGCAGTTGAAGNTACTACTGTGTGTTTCACGCAGTTGAAGTTTCATACTACTGTGTGTTTCACCCAGTTGAAGTTTTATACTACTGTGTGTTTCACGCAGTTGTATTTTTATACTACTGTGTGTTTTTCGCAGTTGTATTTTTATACGCCTGTGTGATTCACGCAGTTGTATTTTTA